TACCGTAATGATTTATTTTGCACCCTTCTTTCAATAATTGCTCCTTTTCGCGCTAGCGAGTGCCTTATCATTTTTTTCTATTAGAGCGTCCAGGCTATCCCAATAAGCAGCTCCTCTCAATAAGCGACCACTAGTGAAAGCTATGATTCAACACATGGACTGGAATGGACTGATTAGACGAATGAATTATGACTTTACTTTTTTATTTGAAACTAATGTTTAAGAAATAGAAAACAGAAATACGATTCGAAGTTTGGAAGAACGAGAAATGCTATGGGAACACGAGCCGATGGACGAGTGTTTCCACAGCTTTTTCTAGAACAGACAAGCTTCTACGAGTGCTTCTATTTAACAATAAGATTATTCGGTCTCGATTTCTATTGCGTGATAGTTCACCACTAAATTTTCTCCGATTCGTATTGGTTTAAATTGATCACCTGACGCGATAGAGTTCGTCCGTGGAGCCATATAGTGCCCGTCCGCGGAAAACACCCGGATGGATAATACTCTTCGGTTAAAATTTTTCTGTAAACAAGGGGACTTGTAGAAAATAAACAATTGAAATTGTATTAAGTCGGTGTTTGTCAGTTTTTTTCCTTCAGATTTTACATTTGGCCGTCACGGCTGTCATCTAAAAAAGTTGAAAATAATTAGTATGATTCTTGAACTGGCCCTTGAAAGAAAATTTGGTGGTGAACAATAAAGCCCAAAAAGTGTTTTTGACTGGGAACTATCGGTCTGATTGTTGCCCCTTGGAAATTTGATGTTATTAAAACTAGCATATTTGCCTTCTCGGGCAAATGTTTGTTTTAAGAACATCAAATTTTCGCGAGGCAACTATCGGCCGATAGTTCCTCGAGAGAAACACTCTATTGTTGAATTAGAAATATCGAGCTCATAATCTAATTGTTTAATAGAAACACGATTTTAAACCAATCAGCGCGCGTATTTTCTTTTGCTGTTTTCAAATGAGTATGATTCTCATCTAAGACTCCTTTTCTAGCTCTTCGATTAAAGTACCTGGTATATTTCATTTAATTGAGTATTTTACCACGTTTTATTTTATTGTTATCATAACCAACGACTATGAAAAATATTATTTTTATATGTTTCTCGTAAATCAGTCTCAGAAAAATCCAGATCCATGCAGTTTTCAGTACTAGGCTGTCCTCAGCATACTGCTCAATAGCATATACAGCTGACAATTAAAATAAAAACAACAACGACAAAAAAACCCCCCGACAAGTGCCACATTAAACTGATACTTTAAGGTCACACAGGACCACTACTTATAACTTCTTCTGAAGTTTTAAGAAATGCCAAAAAAGCAATTTCAGCCAAACAACCAATTATCAAACTTAAAATTTGCCATTGCCTCCTTTCGTGTCAAAACGGAGGCCGATTTCTCCAGACTTGCTGGAAGTTATTAATTTCTTAGAGAAACTAGACTCTAAAGTCTAGACATAAAAGGACGACCTTGAATTTTGAAAGGCCTTTTGGCATTCCTCGTCTGTCGTTACACGAAACCATGCACCACTTTGACCGCCTTCGTGACTTTCATCTTGAAACTGGACAAACATGTTGCAGCACTTGCCCCTTCCGAAGGCCATCCGAGTCAGTAATGTTGATTACAAAGCGTGAATGTGAACGAATCTTTTAAATCAATACCTACATACCAGCAAAGATCCTCCTACCAGATGTAAAGATGTGAAACGGTTTTGTTCAAGTCAAAGGAGCAATTCTTGCGGCAGTTTGTATGCACAAAGTATGCCATGAGGTATGTAGCGAGGGAGATATGGGTTTCGGAAAATATGGAAGTGATGTCTGTAAAATATATAAGCACAATCCATATTTNGGCCGATTTCTCCAGACTTGCTGGAAGTTATTAATTTCTTAGAGAAACTGGACTCTAAAGTCTAGACATAAAAGGACGACCTTTAATTTTGAAAGGCCTTTTGGCATTCCTCGTCTGTCGTTACACGAAACCATGCACCTCTTTGACCTCCTTCGTGAATTTCATCTTGAAACTGGACAAACATGTTGCTGCACTTGCCCCTTCCGAAGGCCATCCGAGTCAGTAATGTTGATTACAAAGCGTGAATATGAACGAATCTTTTAAATCAATACCTACATACCAGCAAAGGTCCTCCTACAAGATGTAAAGATGTGAAACGGTTTTGTTCAAGTCAAAGGAGCAATTCTTGCGGCAGTTTGTGTGTACAAAGTATGCCATGAGTTATGTGGCGAGGGAGATATGGGTTTCGGAAAATATGGAAGTGATGTCTGTAAAATATAAGCACAATCCATATTTCTTAAAGTCATACAGTTTTAATCCCAAAGTTTCACCCCTTGGTCATAAATCGTGGTTTTCACGAGAACTTTAGTCATCCTTTCAACTTGACCTGCTAAGTCTCCGTTGTTATTTATCAGCCATCCGTAAATTGGCGCTGGATCCTGCTCCACTTCATAGCTGCCATCACGTTCAACCACGCCTCGTTTGATTAGGTCTGCTACTGCCCGTTCAGCGGCTGTTGTGACTACACTCATGTCCTGTGGGAATGCCACTTGTCCCATGGTGAAAGGTCCCATGTAATATATGGGCGCTACAGGATCTTCAGTACCAGGAACCAAGGAGAAATTGTTGATGTCAATCAGGGCACCAGACGGACGGAAATAGTTGATCCCATCCCGCGTCACAACGTTTGGATGATCTTCATGATTTTGTGATTCTTTGGCATTCCGAAAAGGGACCAAAATTTCTTTGATGAGCTTCGCTTTTCTTAAAGATGTCGTCAGTGGGGAGAAATCTTTCTCAAACGCTGCCTTCTGACCAGTGGCATCGATCATGACGTCATGATGCGCCTCAAAAGTGGTATCTCCGTCGGGTTTCCATGACAATTTGATGCCACTTCTCCCTTTTGCTTCTTCAATTTCATACTCTTTACCAATCTTCTTAACTTCAAGGTGGCCGTCCTTCATAAGAACCAGGATCTTTTCAGCATTTTGAACTGGGAAGGGACCAGTAAGCAGATGCAGTTCAGTCTTGATTTCCTCAAACCGGATGCGATCTTCCGCTGAGAAGTAGCTGAAGGCCTCGTCGAATACTGCGTACGACTGATAAAAGACATTCTGTAGAAGAACTGGAACGCCAGTTTTCAAGCTCTCTTTCGCCTCTTCAAGCTCACGGCTTAATCTCTCCACCGGATCAGTTGTTTGCAGTAGCTTTCTCATTTCAGAAACAGCTTCTTCTAACGTCACCGTTTCCCAGCAGTCTGGCAGGTACGCACGAAGTCGAGGAACTTCATCGTAGATCTCTCTTTTTAAGAGATACCAGAAGTCATCCAGTGGAAGAAAGCCATCATTCGCTTCAATGATAGGAATAAAAGATGCAGGTGTCAGGTATTTGTGCGTGAAAATCTTGTTTACAACCACGCCCATTACTTGAGGAAGCATTGCCTTGCGTCCGTACATTGTCATCTTGAATCTTTCTGCTCCTTTAAAGGGTACGAACTTCAAGCTGCTCTTGCCATTTTGATGCATCGACTGAAATGATCCATTCTTTTTACTTAGAGTTAGAGCAGTGTCTATTGCCGACAACGAACAGCCAAGTATTCCCACGTTGCCCCCAAGCTCGGTTCTGGCCTGGATGTCTCGTGGTGGAAAGGGTGAAGGAAGCCAGTGTGGAAAGTCCGGGAACCTGTTGTAGGTCCAGTGTCCTGTCGCAACAAACAGGTTTCTAGCAAAGGCTTTGTTCTTCTTGTCAAGATCGAGTTCATACCCATACGCACCAAGAACGCTTTTAGGTAGAACGGAAGTCACCTTGGTCAGACGCCGGACATCCACTGTGAATCCCTTTTCTCTGAGCGCCATCACAAACTGATTGAAGCGGTCGCTTAAATAGAGGCCTACCACAAATCTAGGAAATGGTTTATTCAGCCAGGTTGGGATCTCGCTTTCTTCAATTCCCAAACTCACTCTATACTCTGGAGGGAGGGAGCGCAGCCAAAGTAGAAAGTCAGATTTTTCAGGTAATGGAATGTAGGTGGCCGTAATCTGAGTGCACCCGCCAGCAATATTCACGATATGATCAGGAATGGTCATGTATCTCGAGTACGGCATTCCTGGTCCTAGGTCTTGGGTAGACTCCACCACCAGAATACGGAATGGCCCCTTTCCTTTGGGAATCAAGTGCAAAGAAATTTGGCCAAGTACCGAGGTACCGTAGGCGCCAGCTCCCACTATTGCGATATCGTAGACCGGACCAATACCGTTCATCTTTGATCGTAGTTTCGATATCTGGAAAGATCGAAAGCAAAGTGAACGCGAATTAAAGATAGATAGATAGATAGATAGATAGATAGA